TTAACAGCAGAAAAGTTGTGGATGTATAAACAGCACAAACTCCACAGCAGCTGCAGTCGAGAAACACTAAAAACAAATGCTGTCTTGCTTGGAGGCACAGTGCAGTAGTAGTGCTCTCCTCTGTACAGTTGAGTGTTTGTTGCACACACTTGTCTAAATGTCATTCTTTGAGTCTTAGTCCTCTGCAACCTGCTCCAAGTCCAATTTCCATCATTTCTACGCCTGCGTTTCTCAATGTAAAATACACCCGGTCCACTCAGCCTCTCTAGTCTCACTGTACTCCTCCAGATTTTTAGGCACTGAGTTGAATGAGCTCTGCAGTCACAGCAGGGATGATCAAACACAGCAGAGAAGTGCTGCACACCTCAGTGATGGTAGAGGTGGATATAGAAGAAACAGCTGAGGGGCTCTACTGTCAGCACTTCAGCATTTATTGTTTAGCCAGACCCAGCATGCACCTTACACAACATCGGTGGTGTCTTTGATTTGCGTTACTTGACATTGTTGCCCGATGGTGCATTTAATCAGCAACATCTTCTCTGCTGTAACCTTCATTGTCACATGGTTAACTTCATCATGTGACTTTGTTTTACTCTGACAAGTAAAACAAAAAAGTACTTTGATACGGCAAGAAGAGTAGATGTAAATAATTACTTTCACCCCTGACTATTAGAATAGCTCTAATTTTTTTGCTCAGAGAATCTGTCCTGCCCTCATCTCATACTAGAGTTCACTGTGTTTTCAATACATCTAAAGATATTTTGACATGCCACAGTACAAAAGCATAGGTTTTAATAAAATAATAAAAAAATAACAACAGTATTAGTTTCTCTTACCAAGACATAATGTCTGCTGATAAACAGGATAAACATGGCTGAAGACAGATGTGCTTACCTGGTTGTAAATCATTTTATTTTATTATATACGAAACAGACACCATTGATTCCTGCTAATACCTGAATATCTGTAGCTGAGCTGTGACACACTATCCAGCTGAGAGAAGAAACTCGTCAAGTGTTCCTGCTTCTATGAATTTAGAAAATGTCAGAGGTTGTTGGAGGTTAAGAGCCTGATAAAGTGAATTTAATGCAGATGTGGAGCAAATATGATAAGTGTGGCTTTAACCCTGAACATTTAATCTGACCTGAACCATTTTGATGGGATTTGGTTTCCCTATAAATAGAAATAGAAACACACATATAATGGAGACTGACATGTCTTATGCTCTACCATGTTTGATTGTTTGATTTAGTGTTGTGTTTAAGACAAATTTACCTGTTTAACTAAGAGATAGAGGAGTGTAGAGAGAGATCGAGAACAGGAGTAATATAACAAATGAAAGACTTGGCACCAAAAAATCTTTCTACATATCTGCAGTATTTCACTGTGTTTCTCTTCCACTCTTCCACTCTCGTCCTCATGCGGACACACAGACTATGCACTGCTGTGCCCCAGTCACTGCACTTTGACTTGCGGGAAATGCAGACGGGCACAGAGAAGGAGGGAAAGAGGTAGAGAAGCGGAGGAAAAGTCAGAAAGCGAGATGGAGTATAGAAGGAGCAGCTGGACCTATGACCAGCCTGCTGTCGTCCTGGAGTTGGGCAGAGAGCAAGAGAGGAGGCATTCAATAGCAAATACAGTTGTAAGATACATGAGGCGTTTTCTCTGACATTCATGTAGGAAGCAGACACCAGCATTGTGCATGTGTTGCGCCATGCATGCATATCTTGATTTCCTACCTGCTCCTCTTGGTTTGTCTGTTTCACACACATATGCAACATGATTTCAGAAATTATTCTGCCATAGGATGGTCATATGTAGTGAGATGCTTCATTTCTTCCAGTCTTTGTCTGTCGTGAATAATGTGATATCACAGCCCATGACACAGTTCAGTAAAATAGCTGGGTGTCATTTTGAAAAGTGAGGACAAAGTGAAACTGCAGAGCGTCTCACTCTGACTTGTGTTCCTCCTGAGAAAATACAGAGGAATTGCATTTGGATTTAATTTGTGTGATGGGAGGTTTCACAATATTTAACTAGGTTTCAATACCAGACTGTTATTGATAAGCAGAAAACAAGGTGGATGAGTATGAGTATATGCAGCATGAGGACGTAGTTGAAAGTGTCACAATGTGAATATGGCTGCTATTGAACAGTCTCGATTTCAGTGAGAGATTTAAAAAAAAAACATAATGTGAAAAAAGCCTTCATTAGTATATTGAAAAATCTTAATACGTGTTTTTTTGATGCGTCAGATTATAACACATAAAGTCACTTGACAGAGCAGTAACGATCAGATCCACTGTCATTTAGAATCACGTTCCCTTTACAGCATGGTGACATATCCCAATAAAATTTGCAATGCATGCAATCTCACTTTAATTAGGTTGGTTGGTATTTCATTACTCAACACAAACCATACATTAAATTTAGTGTTGCTTGAAATGAACTACCACCCCCTCAACAAAGTCCTGTAACGCATTTAACTTTATAAGATGACTGGTTTTGTTGAGACTCCCCATCTTTCTGCCTCGTCTGGTGACTGACCTGAGAAAAAACACGACCGGGGCACAGCTAAAGAAAAAAGAGTAAAACTTAATGTTTATGTTTCATGTATACTGATGGAATATCTACAGTGGAACTATCTGAGCCACTGTTTACAGAGGGCAGCTGGGATAATGAGAAGGAAAGAGGGCAACCTGGATTACTGGTTCAGATGTAACACAGTGTAATGCCTGGTTTAAAAATGTTCTCACCACCTGGTCAACAATGGACTTGGGAATGACCAGACAGGTGTAATTAGCTGTAGTTACTGACCCTCTAATCTTCTGTTTATGGTCTGTGTCGTCAGTCTTGATGGTTTCTCACAGGACTCCACTGTCTCTGACTCTAACAGCAGTTACTATCAATAATGAAGACACCAATACCCTCTGATTGTCTCTCACTGTCTTCTTCAGAGAAGATTTGTGGTCCTGTCTTTCTGTTATTTAGCCTCAGAATTCCTTTAAAGGGCATGTTTGTTTGTTTTATGGGAAAGGAAACGCTGTACAAAGAGTAGTCTTCTAACTCTTTGGCCTTTTACCATTTATTGAATCTCCCAAACAAACCTTTTCTCTCCTCTCCTTTCCTCTCCTCTCCTCTCCTCTCCTCTCCTCTCCTCTCCTCTCCTCTCCTCAAAAGGTTGTTAAAAAAAGTTCTTCATCCCATTTATGAGGATTTTTTTAGGGGCGTCTTTTTTAGGCATCCCAAGATTGATAGTTTCAAAGCAATTGTAATTTTTTTTCAGAGCTGTATAAATGCATTTGGGCCTCTCTGAGTGCCCATGGGCATGTTGGTCTTAAAATGATTGGTATCTTGAAGAAATTGAAAGTAATCAATGGTGCAGTATTTCTAAGGTACACATTGTATATAATACTGGTAGTACGGCCTACATGGTGGTCTGATTATGCTTTTACATTGCACTTGAGCTGATTAACTTCCTGGCAAATCAGCTTTTACCTTGGCAGTCTGAAAAGCAGCACCTGACTTCTAAGGGGAATGACACTATGGTTAACTGCTTGTTGCTTTGAAATCAAATTTGGACAGGACTTAGCATACGCTTCAGAGAGTCAACTTAGATCATTAGAATAGTTTTCCTCAGTCATACCTGTTATCCAATTGCAAACCAAAGACATCAGCTCTGCTTCTTGACCTTGTTGTCTTCTCTCCTCTGTGTGCAGCAAATGGATTGTTCAAACTCTCAGACAGATGCAAACAGCAGACAGACGTCTGGAAAATCATTCTAAAAACAGCTGTCATCAGAAAGTCTGTCTCATATCAATTTCAAGCCTGTGATTGCATGGGCCTGAGACAACACCACAAATAGCACAGCTGATAAATAAGTGTTTATTTTTTCAGGCAAATAAATAAATAATAATTTCATGTGCAAACTTTTATAGTTGATATCTGGGAGTGCATCAAGAGGTGAACTAATGGGGAACACAATTGTACCAAAGGTCTTGGAACTGACCCAGGGTAAAGCAATTACCCAGCATGCACCTGAGCCATTGAAATAACATCTGTTGTTAGAACATGATAAGAAATTGAACCCTCAGCTTTCCTGTCCACAGTCTTTATCTTAATCTTCTAAATGTGATAAACAACAAAAATCCCAGGTAATAATTGACATTTCCTGGCTTCAGCATTCTTTTTAATCGCTTTTCTTAATTTAAACACAAATGTCCAACCTTATCAGCATGTTCTGAATTGTTCACTGTTACTTTTGCAGACAGATTTATGATTTAAGTGGACGTATACATTTTCAGAGTGACAAGACAAGCAGTTATGGAATTGGGATAGATGACCTAGTGTGTGTTTGTGTGTGTGTGTGTGTGTGTGTGTGTGTGTGTGTGTGTGAGAGGTATCTGTTGTTTCCTTAGTTTTACGTGCAATTCAGCATAACTGTATATTTCACATTTGTTGCAAATCCACCAGTGTGTGTGGGTGTGACTCTTATTCAGGCTTCATGGTCAGATTTCACTTTCAAACTGTCTTGTTAATGAAAAGTGAGTCAGTTTACCAATAACGTACAGAGAGATTAATTCAGAGAAAATGAGCTACAGGGAAATGTATGGCCTCAGATCGAATTATGCTTTTTTATATCATGTATTTTTACATCATATATTGGTGGTATAATATTATATGTCAGTCACCTATGATTTGGATTATGTGTTTGTGTCCCTGTATTGCACAGTTTCCATTTCTGTTTTGTTTACAGTTTGTGTTTTGTTCAATAAAGACAACCTGGAACCTGCTGACTTGTGGTGTGTGTTTGTTGTGTTTTCTGAGGTTTGACTGAGAAATCTGAACATCAATTATAAAATCGTTGATTTATTTCAATGGGAGGTGTCTTTTAAATCACCTCAATTTACAATCTTTCATAATTTAAATCTCTTCATTCATGTTGCCACCACAGAGTCGGCCCTCAGCTCTCCTCATCATCTTCTCTCTCCCTCATCCAGCTGATCAGTTTGTGTGCCACACTGAAGCCATCGCAGACATCGTGATCCTGGTGGACGGTTCTTGGAGTATCGGTCGGATCAACTTTCGGCTGGTCCGCACGTTCCTGGAAAACCTGGTCAACGCCTTCGATGTCGGCATCGATAAGACAAGGATAGGTGGGTCCTTGCTTCTCTTCCTTGTCGAACAGATGGATACACCACTGGTACAACACTGTCATCTATTGTTCCTGAACAGATTTTAATTGAACTGATACTGAACTGATCGCAACTGTTGAGAAATATTTATCCTTTTGTGTATAAGCTGTCCTCAAATGACCAATTTGAACTGTGAGATTTTGTATGTGTGTTTAGGTCTGGCTCAGTACAGCGGGGATCCAAGGATAGAGTGGCATCTAAATGCCTTCTCCACTAAAGATACCGTCGTTGATGCTGTCAAGAATCTCCCCTACAAAGGAGGAAACACGCTAACAGGTTGTTTTTCTGATTTAGTTTATTCAGTAGGTCCAAACCAGTGTTTGTATTTCTTTTTACTCTTTTCTTCTTGGTCTTCATCGTGCACCTTTTCCCTTTTCTCCTTTAAATAACTGAGTTTGCCCTGGCACCTCTGTCTTCCTCATTCCTTATCTTTCTCCATCTCCTTCCAGGCCTTGCGTTGAGCTATATCATGGAGAACTGCTTCAAGCCAGAGTCTGGCTCCCGGGTTGGCGTGCCCAAGATTGGAATCCTAATCACGGACGGGAAGTCCCAGGATGACGTTATACCACCTGCAGAGAGCCTGCGCAATTCTGGGATTGAGCTGTTTGCTATTGGTAAGATTTGCATCTGTGGCATGAATCCTGCTCTGCTGTCATTTGTTCATATGAATATTAGTTGTACGAGTCAGACTGATTGTTACTACATGTAATCCACACAATTCTGCGTCTGCCCTCGTCCTCCCAGGTGTGAAGAACGCTGATGAGAATGAGTTGCGCTCCATCGCCTCAGAACCAGAAGACTCTCACGTCTACAACGTGGCCGACTTCAACATCATGAGCTCCATCGTCGAGGGTCTGACCAGAACAGTGTGTGAACAAGTGGAGCAGCAGGATAAAGACATCAAGGAGAGTAAGGAAACAATGGCAGTCAGTGAGAAAGCGACACAGTTATATCTCCGCAAAGCAGTTACGTGCATTTACTTGTGGTGACAGTACAGTGCGATATGATCACTGTGGCTCCTATTGGATCCTTAAATGACCTTAAAAAGCTTAACGGCAGCCATAGTCTCAATATGTTAATTATTATATGATACTCCACCCTGCTCCTCTGTCTCACCTCTTTGTAAAGCTGCAAGATGAAAAATACAAGAGGACGTCACAAATCCAGTCTAATCTGTTTTGATTATATTTTAACACCATCTCTTTTAGGCTCATACTGGATGCATTCCCTTTTTAGTTTTAAAAATTATTCTCATTCTTCCCTGTTCCTCTTCTTATATTTTTTTCAGAACAGGTACCAGAGACAATCGGAACGCCACTCGATCTGGTGACGTCAGAGGTCACGGCACGGAGCTTCAGGGTGTCATGGACTCATGCCCCTGGAAACGTAGAGAAATACAGAGTGGTTTATTATCCTGCTCAGGGAGGAGAACCACAGGAGGTGAATATATATTTTCTTTTGCTGAGAACATTGAATCAGTAAATTGAAAAAGTGTAAAAGTTTAAGCAAGACAATTAATCAGGAGTAATTAACCACTACAAACAAATTCATCACTTCTAAAAAGTGGGAAATTTCAATTAATAATGTCCATTATTGCAAACACAGCCCAAAGAAATGTTCACTGCTATCTAAAGTGTATATGCATATAGAAAGACACAAAACATACTGAGGTCATCACACTGAGTGGGAGCACAGAGATCACATTTAGTTCACCAATAGATTTACTGTTTCTGGGATCCTCTGCAGCGTGTAGAGATTGAGCTCAGTTTTCCCTTGAGATTCTGATGATATCATTCATCCATACTCGTTTCTCTCATCCCTCCGTTCACATCTCTCGAGAACATCGGCGAAGGGAATGAAGGCTCACTAGAAATCGAATGATACTGTGGCTGATGCAGGCACCTGCTTGAGGTTTCCAGAACATTTGACCACAAAAAAAAAAAAGCCTATTAAATCTTTTGCTTAGCTGGGTTTTTTAGGGACCAGATGTTCTGGAGACTCGTGTGAGGAGGCCTTTCCAGCTGGCTTAACCCACATCTAATCTGTATCACAACTGTCATCCATTCAGTTCAGTGCAGAAACTAAACATTCTTCAGCTTTAGACGTTGGGGCTTTATCCAATTCATTTAATCGATTGTTTCCCTTCCTCTTCCATTCTCTTTCGATCTCTCTTTCCTACCCTGCTTTCCTTGTTTTCCTCTCTTCCATTTGTCATTTTCATCTTTCCACATTTATTGTCCCATTTTCTATTTCCCCTGCTACTCACTGTCCCCCTGCCCCTACCCCTCTCTTCTCCCATCCATTTTTGTACCCCATCGCTCTCCTCTGCCCCTCGCATCCATCATTCAAACCTTGACTCGCCCTCCTGCACCCCCGCAGGCTGTGGTGGACGGCAGCGAGACCTCGGTGGTGTTACAGCATCTCAGCTCCCTCACTGAGTACCAGCTGGCTGTGTTTGCTGTGTATGCAAACGAGGCGAGTGAAGCTCTTAGGGGATCAGAAACAACTCGTAAGTTCATTCTCACGCACAAACACACACGTAGCAGAACTGCACACACACAACACCACACACCAAGTGCTTCAGTCAACATCCAAGACCACAAGATAATAGCAGTTACTTAAAAAGCCGTGGAAGCCAGACATATTGAAAGTGTTTACATGTGCAGTTGTTTCCCTGTTTTGATCACATTCAGGATATGGAAGTTACATGGAACAGTGAGAAATCTGCGTATTTACAGTATATCTCTGTATACGTGATAAATACATTTAAACACTATCCCGGTCTGTGATGTTACCATGGTAACAGAAAGTTTGATTCCTGTGTAGTGGCTATTCAAAATAGCTTATAGCAGGCTTAGCTGTATTTAATGCAAACATCGCATTGCAGATTTGTGTTATCCACCTTATTGCCAGCAATGGGAGACGAGAGCACCAGCAAATATCAAACATGTCCTCCACTTTGCCCGTTATCGTGCTGTCACTGCCACCGCTCAGACTTCCGTATGATTAGGGCACACAAAAGTGAAACTTTAAAATCCTGATAACCTGAATACTGTCCGGATGTGAATGCAGTTTATGGTGCACTTGTGATACAGGAAGAAAGATACAAGTTTTTACATTTCCAAAAAAGTGATTGATTTGACTTGATTTAACAGCTGTGCGTTTGTCTGTGTGTGGTCACACGTGTGTATGTGTGTCTCCAGTGGTCCTACCCAGAGTGACAGGCCTGCAGCTGTCTGATGTGACTCACAGCAGCATGAAAGCAAGATGGGACAGCGTAGACGGGGCCTCCGGCTACATGCTGCTGTATGCACCTCTCAAAGATAATGGAGAGTTGGACGAGAAGGAGGTAGTGATAGAAAGAAAGATATACATTGAACTCACAGCACTGACAACGAACTTGTGTGTTAAAAGCTGTATTTTGTCTTTGTCCACAGACGAAGGTGTCGGATGCAGTGACAGAGCTGGAGCTGGAGGGGTTGAGCTCTCACACAGAATACACTGTCACTGTTTATGCAATGTATGGTGATGAAGCCAGTGACCCTGTAACAAACCAGGAAAGTACATGTGAGTAACGCACACACACACACACACACAGAAACACGCACACACACACACACACACACACACACACACACACACACACACACACACACACACACAGAAACACACACACACACACACACACACACACACACACACACACACACACACACACACACACACACAGAAACACACGCACACACACACACAGACTGATTCTCTTTAAGCACACAAGCATATTAACACACACTCTCTCCCTTCTCTCTCTCTCACTCTCTCTCTCTCTCTCACTCTGTCCAGTACCCCGGAGTCCTCCCAGTAACCTCCAGTTCTCTGACATC